AGAACTCTGTGCATCCCTGCCACCTCCACCAGAAGGTGCTATGAGAGCACTCTCCCCAACAGAGACTGAAAAATCTGGACACTTCCTCTGACTAGCTAGCAGGGCTTCACTCTTCCTCAGACTCAAATTCTTGAGGAGTGGCTACCTGCCCCAGCTAAGGCCACCAACAGCACAGCTTTTCAAGGACCTCCCTGAACTGTAAGTGTGGGTCAAGGAAAGGTGAAAAACACATGACAGAGAGGCTGGCACCACAGATTCCCCCACTTCTGAGTCAGAGAAAGTAAACAGGACACTGCCCCAGACCACCTCCTAATCATAGGCGTATATGATCTAGCCACCTAACTCCTAACATGAGTCTTATCAAATCCAATCAGACCATTCACCCACACACTCTATAGGTTGCAGAATCTGGATTAGGCCTCACAGACTAGGCTGGCTTCCAGGCCCTTTCTGGGCTACCTTGCCTGGGCTTCATTTGGGTCTTGAGAGCCACTCCCACCCCTAGGCATTACAGGCAGACTGCATAGGCACCGCTGGGCAGGAGGAAACAGCTGACCTCCCACCTCCCCCTTTCCAGTGGCATATTTGAGTCTTAAAGGCCATCCTGCCCCCAGGCTCTCCAGGCAGGCTATGTAAGCCCCACTCAGGTCTGAAAGACTAAACAGACCTCTGGTCCCTCCTGAACCACATTGCCAGGGCCATATTCAAGTCCTGAAAGCTGTTCCATCCTCAGGTGTTACACATCAGCTGCATAGGCCCTGCTTGGGTCTGTCAGACTCAGCTTGCCTTTCACTGCCCTAGACCACCTTGCCAGGGCTACATTCAAGTACTGAGGGCAGCCATATCCCCAAGTTTTACCAACTGACTACTTAGCCTCCCAATCAGCTCACGTCAGGCCCTCACAAGTCTTCTTGTCCAGTCCTCACTCAAGTCTACTCAGGCTGGCTAAGCCCTTCTGGCCTCCAGGCCACTCAGGTCTCCTTACCTAGCCCACTTCCCATAGAGCTTACTGAACTGCCCCCACATTTTGCTTAAACCCACCTGTGTCCAGGCAAGCCCTCTTGCCCAGGACCTATTTGTTGGCTCCACTGGGTTCTGGGTCTTGTGGGGTCCTAACCTAAACCCAGCTAGAGCATGCTTGGATCCCACTTGGCCCTGCTTGCCTCTGGGCTTTGTGGACTGCCTACCCAGGCCTCACTAAGTCCATTTGGGCCTGCTTCCCTCAGGGTCTCACAGGATTCCCTGTCAGGGAAACCAGAGGCTCTGCTCAGCCTTGTCTGCCTCCAGACCTCATGGGACCACCATACCTGGACCAGCTTGGGCTCCATTTGCCCCCCCCCTTTAAATACTGATTCCCTCGGTCTCACAGGCATCTGTCTGGGCTCCACTCCTTTCGTACCACACAAAGGGCCCTGCTTGGACTCCACCTCCTCCAAAAGGCACAGACATCACCTACTTGGGCTGTCACCTACCCAAACTACTGACAACCTACCACAACTACGGAAGACCCCATTTAGGCACTGCCCAAACCTTAGACTTGTAGAGGGATGCACATAGCCCCCCCTCCCCCAGCCCCAACTCCAAAGACAGCCCCTGCCCATACCCCTCCTGACTATTGTGATCCCTGAAAATTTAGGACTTTTTTTTGCAACAATCTCAGCCAGAATCAATACCAAAACGATTTGTCCAACAGTACTAAAGGTCACAGTCATAGGAAAAATCATTAAGCAAACTAAATAATAATAATATTAATAATACTACCACTATAGAATCTATTCCATTCATCAGGAAAAAGTGAGAACTCCACCAGATGCCTAAAAATCAATGCAGGGGGACCAGCAGATGGCATAACGGTTACATCACTGAAGCCCACATGCCAATCTCAGTTCGAATCCTGGACCTGGCAGGTTGAAACTTATACTAGGCATGTGTGCATGCTCGCCCAAAATCCTGAGAGGAGAATGGAGAGGAAGAATGGTGTCCTGGCCAAAACCCTGGGGAATGATTTATCACTTTCTGTCTCTCTCTGTGTCTCTGGCAAGTGCATGTGCCCTATAGCAAAAATGTCTTAAAAAAAAAAATGTAGGGACATAAGAAATAAGAAAAATAAGGAACTATGTCTCTTCCAAGTGAAAGTACTATTAACTCCTCATTAACAATTGATAAACTATAAAAAGTCACAGATACAGAAACAATTTAGAATAATGATCATAACAATATTAAGAAAAACAAGAGAAAAAAATTTCAGATGAAAAAAATCACTACAGGGACCAGCAGTTGGTGTAATGGCAATGTAGCTGGACTCTCATGTAGTCAACCGTGGTTCAAGTCCTGGACCCAGTGGCTTAAACTCACACCAGGCACATGTGCGTGCATGCCCAAGATCCTGAGAGGAGAATGGAGGAGAAGGGATTATGGTGTGGCCATCCCCCATGGGGGTGATTTCTCGCTTTCTGTCTCTCGCTCCCTCTCTCTCTGTTTTTCTGGCAAGAGCAAGCACCCTAATAGCACAAAGTCTCCAAAAAAAAAAAAAAAGAAGAAAAGAAAATCACTCCATAACATGAATTAGGAGTTCAATAAAGAGATATACACCTTTAAAAAGAATCAAACATGGGGCCAACAAGTGGCGTGGTGATTAAGGTGCTGGATTCCCATTTGGCCCGCCATAGTTCAGGTGCCAGCAACTAAAAGTCACACTGGGTACATGTGTGTGCATGCCCAAAATCCCGAGAAGAGAATAGAACAGACTGGTGTGGTTATCTCCTATGGGGGGTTAGCGTGAGGATTTCTCACTTTCCCTCTCTCTGTCAAGCATGCATATGGCAAAAATCTAAAAGGAAAAAAAGGATCAAACACAATTACTTTGTGTACAAAATACTGATGACACTGATGGGATGGAGAAATGAAGGAAAGGGATTTGGCTGTGACCACAGCCTGGCTGGGGTGGGGAGGGATGCTCTCTCTCCCTCTCTATCTCTTGCTCCTCTCTGTCTGGCAAGAGCATGTACCCTCTATCAATGAAACATAAATAAATAAATTTTTAATTCATAATAATATTTTTCCAACAAGTTTTTTTTAAAAGCCCAAAATAACTGTGTTTTATGATTTACGGTTTTCAAAACTTAAAGCTATTTTCCTTAGGTATGAATCACTGCCTGCTAATGGATTTGGCATTTACTATTCAGCTACAATATACCACACATCTTAATTCATTAACACTTGATTATCTCCGCACATTCCTTAACTTTCCCTTTTCAGGATTTTTTAAAGAGGTTTTTTTGCTATAGGACACGTGTGCTCATCAGACAGACAGAGACAGACAGACAGACAGAAAGCAAGAAATCATCCTCCAGGGGGGATGGCCACGCCACAATCCCTTCTCTTCCATTCTCCTCTCGGGATCTTAGGCACGCATGCACACGCGCCCAGCGTGAGTTTTAAGCCACCAGGTCCAGGACACGAACCACGGTCAACTACATGGGAGTCCAGCGACATAGCCATTACGCTAACTGCTAGTCCCCTTAACTTTCCCCTTTGAACAACCATTCACTGGCATGAGTACAAGTACAACCAGTACTCTTCCTCTCAACAGTTCTCCTATACCCCAAGAAAAGAACATAACTACCAATATATATATATTTTTCTTTTTTTGAGAGATTTTCACTGTAGGGCGCGTGCGCTCGCCAGACAGACAGAGAGAGACATAGAGACAGAAAGCGAGAAATCACCCCCCAGGGGGGATGGTCACGTCGCAATCCCTTCTCCTCCATTCTCCTCTCGGGATCTTGGGCACACACGCACACGCGTCCGGCGTGAGTTTTAAGCCACCGGGTCCGGGACACGAACCGTGGTTGACTACGTGGGAGTCCAGCGACATAGCCATTACACTAACTGCTGGTTCCCAACTACCAATATATTTTGTTAGGCCTTTCATTTGTAGATTAATAAAGGACGGCTAGAAATGAAGTGAAAGGCTTCTCAGTTCAACTTCATGGAAAGTATAAAACACCTTTCAGGATGGGAAGGAAAAGTGGACTTTCTATGTAATGTTATTTTAAATATGCGACAATTTTATAAAATGTTAGTAAAATTTATCCCTAGATATTTAGTTGGAATATCACACTACTCTGTAAAGAAATAGTAAGTTCTTGGGACCAGCAGTTGGCATAATGGCTATGTCACTGGACTTCCATGTGGTCGACCGCGGTTCGAGTCCCAGATCCAGTGACTTAAACTTATGCTGGACGCTTGTACATGTGTGCCCAAGACCCCAAGAGGAGAATGGAGGAAAAGGGATTGCTGCGTGGCAACCCCCCCCGGGGGGGTGATTTCTCACTTTATGTCTCTCTTTTTCTGGCAAGTGCACATGCCCTATAGCAAAAACCTCTTTAAAAAAAAAAGAAAAAGAAATAGTAAATTCTCAAATTAGTTTCCCTAAGAAATAAAAAAGACTTAATTTAGATAACTGTAACTTTTCTCTGGTGTGTTAGTTAAGACACTCGATTCCCATATGGCCACCTGCAGTTTGAGTCCAGGACCCAGCAGCTTGAAAATCAGGCCAGGCATGTATATATGCATGCCCAAAATCCTGAGAGGAAAATGGATGAGAAAGGATTACAGCATGACCATCTCCCCACAAGGGGTGATCCCCTCCCCTTCCTCTCTGTCTCTCTCTGGCAACCACACAAACTCTCTACCAGGAGGGAAAAGACAGCCTAATGGTTATCAAGAATCTTTAGAGGACCAATAGATGCATCCATTCCCAAAATCCCAAGATGAGAATGGGGGAGAAGGGACTGCAATGTGGTCATCCCCGGGGGGCGGGGGTGACTTCTCACTTTCTGTCTCTCTCTCCAGCAAGCACATGCATCCTATAGCAAAAATCTCTCTCTTAAAAAAAAAAAAAACAGCTAAAGAAACATGACAAGCATTCCATTTTCATAAATCTCAAAAAGCTTGCAGGAGAAGATAAAGACTATAATAATATTTTTAAGCATTACCAGTTTTAACCGTTCTTTTCTCCTTTTGCCAAAGGAAGCACTTGAACCAGGTTCTGATTCCTTTTTTCCATCTTCATCTTCATCTTCATCTTCTTCATCCTCAAAACACCAATCTGGCAATACAGGTGGGGGTGGTGCTTCTTCTATATCACCATAGCGACGAAAAAGTTCCTTCAAATAATCACCCTTATAGATTCCTGGTGGTCTGGCTTGGGCAAACGTAGCAACTGCTGCTTCAATACTATGAAAAAAATACCATGCCATTTCCTCACTATTCTCCATTTATGCATTACTAAGACTCACAACACATTCCAGAAATGTATAAAGTATAACAGTGGTTTATAAATGGACAAATCACAGTCCTCAACTCAAGGCATTTAATCTATTAAGGAACAAATTTATTGTAAAAAAAAACAGTTTTCATATAAGGTACACTGATATTTCCTGAACTCAAAATGGCGCTGAGTGTATAGAACATACCTGGATAGGACACGTGAAGAATTTTTTTAAAGCCCTGAAAGTTGAGATCTGACTCTTCTGTCTCTCTGTCTTTCCGGCAAGCGGACACACCCCATAGCAAAAACCTCTCCAAAATTAAATAAATAATTTAAAAAAAAGTCTTGCCTCATAGTAAAGCATTATCTAAAAAAAAAAAAAGAAAAGAAAGGAAGGAAAAAAAAAAAAAAAGAAAAAACAGCAGTCAAGAAAACATGAAATGGGAACCAGCAGTTCGCGTAATGGCTATGTCGCTGGATTCCCACGTAGTCGACCGCAATTCGCATCCCGGACACGGTGGCTTAAAACTCATGCCGAGCGTGTGCGCCCAAGATCCCGAGAGGAGAATGGAGGAGAAGGGATTGCGGCGTGACCATCTTCCCTGGGGGGTGATTTCTCACTTTCTGTCTCTATGTCTCTGTCTGTCTGGCGAGCGCACGTGACCTATGGCGAAAAAAATCTCTCCAAAAATAATAATAATAATAATAATAACAAATAAATAAACGATTCTTCTTAAAAATCAAGTTTTCAGGAATTTCAGATCAAGTAAGAACTAAGATTAGAACTAAGGTTCTAATCTCTCAGGATCTAAAAAATGTACTTCACCAATAACAGGTGCTCAATAAAAACATGCTGACTGGCTTAAATGAAGTAATCCTATGCCAAAAATATTTCCTTCTTACAGCATTATAAGCTTTCCTAGAACTCAACGGTATCATAAAAAGATACTATTAAGGTATCGGGAAAGTTATGACTTTCTTAATGCTTTTCTATGCAAAAATGCATCATGACTTTCCTGACAACCTAATATTAAAAGGGAAAAGAACTTGTAGGAAAAATTAAAAAGAAAAAGAATAACTGCCCAATGGAATTAATCATTAGTTTACCAAAACTTGGCAAAAACAAATTACTAAATATACCATCTTCCATTATTTAAGATATAAATACCTCCAATCCATCTTCTCCACCAAAAAGGCACATATAAGGAAGCCAGTGCGATTAAAACCATGGGTACAATGAACACCTGGAAAATAAAGTAGCTTTGTTTTAAAATTAATAAATCACTTCAGAGGCCACATTTTTCTTTAAAACTTCAACCCACAATAGAACATCTCGATCATTTTATAAAGTAACTGCAATGTGAAGGACAAATTACTATCAAGAGTGGGAGAAAAGATATAAAAAAAAGTCTGGTTTCAGGACCAACAGTTGGCATAATGGCTATATCCCTGGGCTCCCATGTAGTCGACCGTGGTTTGAGTCCCGGACCCGATGGCTTAAACTCATGCCAGGAGCATGTGCATGTATGCCCAAGATCCAGAGAGAAGAATGGAAGAGAAGGGACTGCGGCCTGGTCATCCCCCGTGGGGGTAATATCTCTGTCTCTCTCTGTCTTTCCTGCAAGTGCTCGTGCCCTATAGCAAAAACTTCTCCAAAAAAAAGTCTGATTTCTAACTTGGTTGCTACTTGAACACTGGTACCATTTACTACTAGGTTAAGAAGTACAAATAAATAAATAAATAAATAAATAAATAAATAAATAAATAAATAAATAAATAAAAGAAGTACAAGGGAGTCAGCCAGTGGCATGGTGATTAAGGCAGCTGAATCCCATGTGGCCAACTGCATGGTTCAAGTCTTAGACTGGGCAGCTTGATAAAATACAGTAGGCATGTGTGCATGCATGGCCAAAATCCTAACAGGAAGAATGGAGGAAAAGGGTTTGCGGTATGACACACCCCACTGGAGGGGTATTCTCACTCTTCTATCTACAGTAACTGAAGGTAACCTCTGGTAACAAAAATTTTTTAAACATTAAAAATCTTAAGTTTTGGGGAACCAGCAGTTAGCGTAATGGCTATGTCGCTGGACTCCCACGTAGTCGCCCGCGGTTCGCATCCCGGACCCGGTGGCTTAAAACTCATGCCGGGCGCGTGTGTGTGTGTGCCCAAGATCCTAAAAGGAGAATGGAGGAGAAGGGATTGCGGCGTGGCCATCCCCCCTGGGGGGTGATTTCTCGCTTTCTGTCTCTGTCTCTCTCTGTCTGTCTGGCAAGCGCACGCGCCCTATAGCGAAAACCTCTCCAAAAAAAAATCTTAATTTTTCAATAATTGAAGAAAGTACAATTTCTCTTTTAATTTGTTTTAACTGTATGTATTTATTTCTTCCATGAGTGAGAGACAGAGAGAGACAAAGAGTCAGCATCTCCTTCAGAGTCCTGATGCTGCAATCCACTCCGGGCTCAGACAGCCCTAGACCCTCGACACAAGCATGCCTAGCATACTCACAAAGGTCTCCAGTTGCAAACCTGGAACTCACCCATGTGGGACAGCCTCAGTGTGCCCAGCTCTACCACTGCACCACTGTCCCACCCCTGATACACTTTACTACGCAAATACAGAGTTCTAGTCTTATTGTTCAGTTATACTTCAGAACATTAAAAGCTGACTAGATTTTTTTAAATAACAATTATAAATTCATAAAATCTTATCATAGCAAATCTCTACAGATACAAAAATATTCCATTAATTAAGTGAATTGTAAGTTTAATTAGATATGTTATCAATGTTTTTTTTGGGGGGGAGGGGTTGCTATAGAGGGCGTGTGTTCGCCAGAAAGACAGAGAGAGACGGAGACAGAAAGCGAGAAATCACCCCCCAGGGGGGATGGCCATGCCACAATCCCTTCTCCTCCATTCTCCTCTCGGGATCTTGGGCATGCACGCACATGCACCCAGCGCGAGTTTAAGTCACCGTTCCAGGACTCGAACCGCAGTTGACTACATGGGAGTCCAGCGATATAGCCATTACACCATGTGCTCGTCCTGTCAATGTATTTAAAAAAAAAAAAAAGCAATTTCCAGGCCAGCGGATGGTGTGGTTAAGATGGGTAGATCCCATAAGGCCAACTACACATTCTAGTTGCAAACCCAGCAGCTTGAAAACACAGCAGGCAGGGGGACCAGCAGTTAGTGTAATGGCTATGTCACTGGACTCCCACGTAGTCAACCGAGGTTCAAGTCTCGGACCCAGTGGCTTAAACTCACGCTGGGCATGTGTGCATGCATGCCCAAGCCCAAGATCCTGAGAGGAGAAGGGATAGCGGCGTGGCCATCCCCCCGGGGGGTGATTTCTCGCTTTCTGTCTGTCTCTCTCTCTCTGTCTGGTGAGCGCACGCGCCCTATAGCAAAAACCTCTCCAAAAAAAGAAAGAAAACACAGCAGGCATGTGTGCATGTGCCAAATCCTGACAGCAAAATGGAAAAAAAGGGACTGAGACTTGGTCATGCTCCCTGGGGGCTGATTTCTAACTTCCCCTTTCTTTGTCTCTCTCTGGCAAGTGTACGTATCCTACAGCAAAAACTGGGAAGGGAAAAAGGCATATTTATTTCATTATGAGAGTGGGTCCATCTAGTGGCAAATTAACCACAGTTGATAATTGAAGATGAGGTTGTTATTAACTAGTTCAATGCAACTCTTCATGTGAACTTCTCTTCATTTTCTGGGTAAGCTAATATAATAAATACATTTATATGAACTTAAAGTCAAATGGAGAAAAGAAACAAGCAAAAGGAGCTAAAGATAAATTACAGTTACACAAATATACATACCAACTATATAAATATAACTTAAGAAGAGGTACTTTGGGGCCAGCAGGTGGCGTGGTGGTTAAGGTACTGGACTCCTACATGGTTGACCACAGTTCAAGTCCTAAACCTGATGCCTTGTTTTCTCACTTTCTCTCTCTCTCTCCCCTTCCCTCCTTCCCTCCCTCTCTCTGGTGAGTGTACATGCCCTATACCAAATTTAAAATAGTAAATAAAATAAATAATTCCTTAAAAAAAAGAGGTAACAGTATAAAGAGCTGATAGCAACTTATTTTCTTAAGTTAAGCCAGGCCTCAACACACACCACTTCCTTTCTACCTACCAACCTGATAAAATTTTAGGCCCAACCTCAGTGGCGTCAGTCGTAAGTAGCATACTAAACAGAACTACTGAAAGCCACACGGACAACCGCAAGTCTGAATGTTCGGTTAACTCAAAAGCAGGTCAGGCGGTGCATGTGCCCGAAATCCTGATTAACTGGAGGGCTAGAGGAAGGGTATCTTTGTGCCAAAATACCCTCTCAAGGGTGCCTGTCTCCCTCCATCCCTTCCTCTCCCTCTTATGTGCATGTACATGTTCTATTTCATGGGAAAATACTAAACTTTAAAAATAAATTTTTAGGACTGAAAAACGAGGGGCCAGCAGGTGGCATGGTGGTTAAGGAACTGGAATCCCAAATAGTCAACCATAGTTCAAGTCCTGGCTCCAGCAGCTTGAAAATCACACAGGGTGCGTGTGCATGCATGCCCAGAATTTCGAGAAGAAAATGGAGGGGAAGGGATTGTGGTGCGGCCAACCACCATGGGGCGTGATTTCTTGCTTTCTGTCTCTCTGTTTATCTCTGTCTCTCTGGTAATCACACACATCCTATAGCAAAATACTCTAAAAAATAATAATAAATGAGGGCAACCATGGATGCCAGGGACGATGGAGGAGGAAGATGGGACATAGCAGAGGGTGGGGGATGGGGAATCAGGGATGGCAAGACAAAGGGCAAGGTATGCAGGATGTAAGAATTGGAAAATTATTTGCTGAGAACATGTATGTTGATGTGCTTGATTGAACCAATGCACAGTGTATTTTGGATGGAAAATTCATTGGTGTGTTGTGATGGTGTATAGTGAATTAATGTAGAAAATAAAAATAAAAAATAAATAAATAAATAAAAATTAATTAATTAATTAATTAATTAATTTTAAAAAGAACTGAAACTAAAATAATAATAATAATAAATAAAAGAACCTACTATGTGCCAAGTATCTTAAATGTTTTCTTTAATCAAAAGAAATGTTTTCCAAGAGCATAAACATGTATGACTCATGAAAATACATATTAAAAAATCTTTGACTTGCATACATAACTAGAAACACTTAAAATAAATAGAGGCTGGGGACCAGCAGGTGGCGTGGTGGCTAAGGGCACTGGACTCCCACATGGCCCTTTCCTATGCAATATAATATTTAGCTTCACTTAGTCATTATCATGACTCTGTAGCACCCATTATGATCTGGTGATAATATAGGTGAAAAAAATCCATGTTATCCATCCAAGTTTCCACAAAAAAATCAGTGGTAAAACTATTCAGAATTCATTAGTTTGGGTCTAGCCAATAGTGTGGTGGTTAAGGTGGCTGGATTCCACAAAGCTGACTTCATGGTTTGAGTCCTTTAGTTCCAGTAGCTTGAAAAACATACTGGGCACATGTGTCTGTATGCCCAAAATTCTGAGAGGAGAATGGAGGAGAAGGGACTGTGGTGTATTCATATCCCTGGGGGGTGATTTCTCTCTCATGCTCTTTCTTGCTCTCTCTTTCTCTAGCAAGTGCATGCACCCTATAGCAAAGAAAAAAAAAAAAAAAATTTTTTTAATTAAAATTAAAAAATAAATAGAGACATTAGCTAAGACACATATCTGCTATTCACAGTCTACCATTTATCAAGATATCAACTATTTCTTTTTTTCTTTCAAGAATTATTTTATTTATGTTTTATTTTAATTTGCTAAAGGACATGTGTGCTCATCAGAGAGAGAGAGAGAGGGGGGAAGTGAGAAAGCAAGTCACCAGGTCCAGGATTTGAACCACAGCTGGCCATGTTCTAGTCCAGTGCCTCAACCACGACTCCACTTGTTGGCCCTGCTATTTCTATTTTGATACTGATTTTTAAATGTCTCCGGTCCACAAAATTCTTACTCTCCAAACAGTTTATTTTTGTACGTGCAAACAAATCCACGCCAGCTCTGCAATCTCTTACGTGTAATTATAACTGCAAAAATGTTCTAAAATAAACAAAATTTTTTTGTTTAAACAAAATTAATTAGGACAAACCCTAACCTGAACTGACAGGATGTTATTTATAGTCTATTTTTAATCATTAGTGTGAATTTATATTCATATGTTTGGAACCAGCAGATGGTGTA